CATTTGGGAGTTGTAGTTGCTGGGATTTATAGTTCACCTACAGTATCATCTGGACCAAACTTGGTACGAATACTCAATATGCCTAAATGTGGACACTGGTGGAGTTTGGGGAAGATAGACTGTGACATTTGGGAGTTGTAGTTGCTAGGATTTATAGTTCACCTATTTTTTTTGTCATGTCAGGAGTTACTCCTGGTGTGAGAGAATTGGCCGTCTGCAAGGACGTTGTCCAGGGGACACCTGGATGATTTGATGTTTTTTTTATCATCCTTGTGGGAGGCTTCTCTCATGTCCCCGCATGTGGAACTGGAGCTGATAGAGGGAGCTCATCCGCCTCTCCCCGAATTCGAACCTGCGACCTGTCGGTCTTCAGTCCTGCCGGCACATGGTTTAACACACTGCGCCACCGGGGGCTCAGTTCACCTATAATCAAAGAACATTCTGAACTCTACCAATGATAGCATTGGTCCAAACTTCCAACACAGAACTCCCACGACCGACAGAAAATACTGTGTTTTCTAATTTCTTTCTTTGGTGACCTCTCTGACACCCCCTCGCGACCCCCCCCATGGGTCCCGACCCCAAGGTTGAGAAACACTGCTCTAGAACATGGCCATATAGCCTGAAAAAACCTACAACAACCCAGTGATTCCGGCCATGAAGGCCATCGACAATAATAATAATAATAATAATAATAATAATAATAATAATAATAATAATAATAATAATACATTAATCTGGAATTTCTCAATTTCTGTACCAAAACTGACTTCTGTTTTCCACGGCAGAATTCTTAAATTAATATATTGCTTCTATAACATATTGTTCTTACATGCTGCTTTTTCTTTCATTGTTTATATTCAGTTTACAATATAGAAGGTTTTCCTTCTCACAATGGAGGTGGAAAAATAGCTGGTCTGGGATTCAACTGCAGTAGGTTTTGCTTAAAAATCAAAATCAAATTGCATCTGATCTGTAGTCCCCCCAAATAGATGTGGCTCAAAGTGGTGTGTGTGCATGTGTGTGTATGTATGCATGCAAAAAAATCATTTAAAAATACTGGAAGAATGCACAAATAGACATGTGGGCCAGTGCAAAAGACTGAAAGGGCGCCTCTGTTAACAAAGCTTGTTGAACCTGAGCAGATATGGGCCTGAGAAAGAGGGCTGCAAAGTTCAATTTTAGTTGAACACCAGGGGGGCAGAAAGGCAGCCTTGACTTCGGTGGCTGAGAATAAAGAGCACAGATCTTTTGAGGCTATTTTGGCTCCGATCAGCTACCATAACGGGAAACGACAGAGAAAAAAAATGTTAAAAGATGGCCTTTTCATTCTAACACTGAGTCACATACAACCTTAGGCTGATAATATGACAAACATCTCAGAAAGGCACCCATATTAGAAATTTTGGTAATATGCAAATGTATTTCTATCGAAGTGGTCAGAAGGCAGGCGACAGATCAACTAAACATTCAACAATTAGCCAATGTGGAACCGATAAGCAAACAGATGGAGGAAGAGGACAACCAGAATGGAAAGGGATCTAAACCCATTGCTCAAACTGGCACCGAAAGACATCACAGTTCAGACATGACATATTTTTCCACACAAGTGCACAAAATAGCAAACAGCTTGCATGTAGGCTATTAGGCTTAATACAGGGATAGCTGTGAGCACAGCAAAATGAAGTGGGTACGATGACCGAATGAAAGGGGGTACAGGCATATCTCGTGCTCTTTCCCACTAAAAGCAAAGGCGGGATACTTTTTTTTTGGGGGGGGGGGATTTGGTGTTTTTAAAATGTATTTTAGTTATATTTATCGTATTTAACTGTATTTCTAACCTCACACACACAATATTGTTAATTGTTTTTCAATTTTTAAATATTTGTTTTGTTTTTAAGGGATCAAAGTGTGTGACGGAGAGGAAGGTGGGGTATAAATAAAGTAAACAATAATCATAAAATAATCATTGAACATCTAGCCCAGGGGTCCTCAAACGAAGGCCCGAGGGCCGGATATGGCCCTCCAAGGTCATTTACAGACAGAGTTCTCAGGGGATGAAAAGAAAGGTAGCTTGCTGGACTAGCAGGAAGGCTTCATATAACAGATGTATGATCTTGTATAAGAAGCTCTAGTGCAGGGGTCGTCAAACTAAGGCCCAGGGGACGGCCCTCTAAGGTCATTTACCCAGCCCTCGCTCAGGGTCAACCTAAGTCTGAAAAGACTTGAAAGCACACAACAACAAAAACAACAATAATTTTATCTCATCAGCCAAAAGCAGGCCCACACTTCCCATTGAAATACTAATAAGTTTTTCAATGGGAAGTTTACGAACCCACATGATCACTTCGATCATCCGGAGAGGCCCTGCTCTCGATCCCACCAGCATCGCAGGCACGATTGGTGGGGACGAGAGAGAGGGCCTTTTCGGTGGTGGCCCCTCGACTCTGGAACTCACTCCCTAAAGACATCAGACAGGCTCCAACTCTGGCAGTCTTCAGGAGGAGCTTGAAGACATGGCTGTTCCAGTGTGCCTTCCCGGAATAATGATCTGATAGCACTTTGTCCTCCAAAGCACTTTACATTTCTTTAGGTCTGCTTGTATGCCCTTCCACAAACACCGGTATCACCTTTCGTCCATGTCCCAGTATTATTTCCAATTTTAACTCTACATTTGGCCTTTCCACTGTTTTTAACTGTGTGTTGTCTTATTGATAATGTTGTGTATTTTATTGTTTATGTTTTTAATTACTTGTATTGTTGTTATTATTGCTTGTATTGTTGTGTTTGGGCTCGGCCTCATGTAAGCCGCACCAAGTCCCTTGGGGAGATGGTAGCGGGGTACAAATAAAGTGTTGTTGTTGTTGTTGTTATTATTATTATTATTATTATTATTATTATTATTATTATATTTGTTAAAATTGTTCTTCATTTTAATTATTGTATTGTTTTAAGTGGGAATTTTTTTTTGCACTACAAATGAGATATGTACAGTGTTCATAGGTATTTGTTGTGGCAGGAAGGAAGTGGCAGCCAATAGTGAAAGGACCAAGGCAGAGACATCTCCAGCTCATCCCCTGTTTGGGTATCAGCCAGCACGTCAACGACTTAAATCCAGACATAGTTTTCTAAGATCTGCAGAGACACTCGCTGGAACACCTCAGCAAGCGAGAGTCCAAAAGTGGCAGGCTCAAACCCAGAACCTCAACCAATGGCTGATACCAAATGAGAAACTCCCCCCTGGGCACACAGAGGACTGGGCGACTTGGAAGGCGCTGAACAGACTGCGCTCTGGCACCACAAGATGCAGAACCAACTCCAAGAAATGGGGCTACAAAGTGGAATCCTCGACATGCGAGCGTGGAGAGGAGCAAACCACTGACCACCTGCTGCAATGCAACCTGAGCCCTGCCACATGCACAATGGAGGACCTTCTTGTGGCAACACCAGAAGCACTCCAAGTGGCCAGATACTGGTCAAAGGACTTTTAATCAACTACCAAACCTACACATTTTGTATTTTCTCTGTTTGTTTGCTTTGTTCTGTTAGAAATGTAATATAATTGACTGGCTGCCCTGACACGAGAAATAAATAGGAATTTGTTCATTTTTTTCAAATTATAATCCGGCTTTCCAACAGTCTGAAGGACTGTGATCTGACCCTCTGTTCAAAAAGTTTGAGGACCCCTGATCTAGCCTTAAGGAGGACTCTTACAGGATGATGAATCCATCCAGTTCAATGTTCTCTTTGCAATAGAAGCAAACCCAATGCCTTTGAGTTGAGCTTGGGAACATTGGCTGTGTTCCAGAACCCATCAGACTGTCAACAGGGATCGATCTGGTTGGGGAGTCTGGGACCTATATTCCAAACAAACCACATATTCCTAAATGTTGACTCATAGGCAAGGCATGAAGTAGGAAACCCTGTTCATATCCTAATAGGCCATTATTATTTTTGGGTATAAACAACACCTGAATGTGGAAGTTCACTCAGCTTTCAGTGTCATGCCTGAAGTGCCTCACCTGTTATGTGAAGGAGCTGCTATTAATATATTAAAAGCCCTGAAAGCAGATCTTAGCAGAAAACCGTATCCGGTGCAGACAAAAGCAAGCAACGCAGAGCAGAGGATGGAACAAATCACACCGCGACGGGTCGGCTAGTGTGGACACAGCTTAGTTCAACCCCACCCACCCCCTGCCGATCTTATCCACTTTCCCTCCACCATTGCTACCTCCTATACTGAAAAAAAAAATCCCTCCTCCCCAACCCCGCTATCCCCTAAAACCCCAAATATCCCAATCCCGATATCATGAGGTTGGCTTGTTACGTTATCTCACATGAATGTGTGTCTATATATATATATGTACACATGTATAGATGTATGTTTTATGAAACAAATATAGACAGAATATTTATAACTCTTGCCACAAAATAAAATTCTGCGATCTCTCCCATTCTTCCGCCCATATATATATATATTGTATTACCCTGCAGAAAATATTAAGAAAATCCGTAATTTCTCTTTCTTGCATACTTCCTTAAAAAAATAGAGAAGTGGGTAGCTTTCCACACAATTATCGCTCAGTTTGCTAGTGACGTGTGCGTGCATGTAGAAAATGCACATACACACATATATACACATACAGTGTTTCTCTCTCTTTTACAAAATGTGCAAATTAAAAGCCTCAAATAGGTTGTCCCCCACTTTCTGGGAGGAGCAGTTGAGCACAGAGGAATATCAGGTACTAACTGAAGAGCAGGGGTGGGGAAACTGGCCCTGCGACTTATGGCCATAATCGTTGTGTAGTTCCAGTTTGTAGTGGATGTTGTTTTAGCTGGATAAGGATGTATCCAGTAGCCCCTTGCCCATAATCTCCCAGCACCCACAATGACCACTTGGAAGGATCTGACACAACCACCAAAAGCATCGCTACTGAATATACGGATCTGCTGGCATTGAACAGGATTTTAGTTGTTGATCGGCCTCAACTCCCATCAACCCCACCTTACATGGGGAATACTGAAAGGAATGATGAGAGTGATCTAATGTCTGCAAGGCTGCAGGTTCCCCATCCTTGATATTCAGGTAGATCAGTGGTTCTCAACCTGGGGTCCCCAGATGTTTTTGGCCTTCAACTCCCAGAAATCCTAACAGCTGGTAAACTGGCTGGGATTTCTGGGAGTTGTAGGCCAAAAACATCTGGGGACCCCAGGTTGAGAACCACTGAGGTAGATGTTGGTATTTGTTTCTCACGCAGGTAAAAAAAATCTGAAAACGTTATCTTGGCTTGGGAGACACAGGACACCTGGGTTCTCTTTTAGGAGTGTTCCTAGCTCCAGAGTTTACTACACATTCCACAGAAATTTGGAAGGGTGGGGAGAATTTCCAAATTATATATCTCTTTCCTTGGAACCTTCCTGTCTTTTCTCATCACTTCTTTTGCCTTTATTATAAAAGGAACAAAAGACAGGAGGCACTAAGCCAGGGGTCCTCAAACTAAGGATACAGCCCTCCAAGGTCATTTACCCGGCCCTTGCTCAGGGTCAACCTAAGTCTGAAATGACTTGAAAGCACACAACAACAACAACAACAACAACAACAACAACCCTATTTCGTCAGCCAAAAGCAGGTCCCCACTTTCCATTGAAATACTAATAAGTTTATATTTGTTAAAATTGTTCTTTATTTTAATTATTGTATTGTTTTTAAGTGTTTTTTGCACTACAAATAAAAGATGTTCAGTGTGCATAGGAATTCATTCATGTTTTTTCCAAATTATAATCTGGCTCTCCAACATTTTGAGGGACTGTGACCTGGCCTTTGGTTTAAACGGTTTGAGGACCCCGGCTCTAAGCAAACTGGCTCTGCTGAGGGAGAATTCTACATTCCTCCTCTCTTCTAGCACACAAGTCTGGTGCACAGATACTGAAACGGCAGGGAACAACAGATAGCATATCACCCAGGAACTGTACAAAATGATCTTGTGGTGCCTTGAATACTTCAAGTGAGTGAAGCAGCCCAAAGGCCCTCCTTTCGTTCGCACCACCGTCACAAGCATGGTTGGTGGGGACGAAAGAGAGGGCCTTCTCGGTGGTGGCCCCCAACCTCTGGAACGCCCTTCCTAGAGAAATAAGACATGCCCCATCCCTCCCCTCCTTTCGTAAGAGCATAAAGACCTGGTGGTTTAAACAAGCCTTTGAGAACGACTAGTTGTAGCTCAGCCCCAGATACTGTTGAATATGGCCACATCTTTTTCTACCAATTACCCAGGTTACTTCCTCTTATTCAGCCCCAGAAATGAACAGCCATAGACTCTACCTAATTTCTGGGCCCTCTACAAAAATTGCACTAGCCTTTTAAATTGCCTTGAACAGGCAGGATTATTTTAAATATATATGTACTATTATGATTTTTAATGCTTATATTGCCTTTCTAAATTTAAGTTGATGTTGTTTACTTTGTATGTATTGATGATGTTACTTGGAAACCACTCCGAGTCCCATCGGGGAGATAGAGCGGTATATAACTAAAGTTTTGTTGTTGTTGTTGTTGCAGGGGCGGCTCAACCCATTACGCAAAGTAAACATTTGCATTATAGTTGATTTTGGCATGGGGCACTCTTGGGGAGCTCTTGGGGGAAAACAGACCTTGACATATGCGAGTTGTAGTTACTGGGATGTATAGTTCACCTACAATCAAAGAGCATTCTGAACTCCACAAATGATGGATTTGAACCAAATATGGCATACAGAACTCCCACAATGAACAGAAAATATATATCAGTGATTGGTTGGGGGCGGGCGCCAAAATACTGTTTGTTTACCGTTGAAAATTACCTAGGGCCACCTCTGTGTTGTTGTAATGCACAACCCCCCATTAGGATGCAATTGCTTGGCGGGTTGTGTTCCTCACTCACTTGAGAAGGGAGGTGGGAAGGAAGCAAGGTTGTCCCAAAGGAACCTTTATTTTCTGAATTAAGACATCCCAACTCTTTTCTCCATCAGCTGTGTGGATGGATAAAGCACCAGATCAGATTGACACTCCCTACTCTTTACGGTAAAAGTACGTTTTAGAGTCCTGTTAAGCTAGCTGGGGATTTCTGGAAGTTGTAGTTGAAAGAGCTAACTTTTCCAAGCTTTGGCAGCCCCAAGGTAGACATATAATGTAATTCCTTTCCACATGATTATAAATGTCAGCCAGAGAAGTAAAGGTCAATCAAGGTGGCTGCTTTCCAGAGAATCTGTCCATGTAGGGAAAGGGGCTTCCCATAATACTGAGATTGGCTGATCAAATAAGGCCAAAAAGGGCTGCTGTCACATTCAGTCTCCTTGCAATGGGGCCAGAAGGCTGCATGGACCCAAATGTTTGTGGGCATGATAGAGGAAGGAGCTCATGTATTGTCGAAGGCTTTCATGGCTGGAATCATTGGGTTGTTGTAGGTTTTTTCGGGCTATATGGCCATGGTCTAGAGGCATTTTCTCCTGACGTTTCGCCTGCATCCATGGCAAGCATCCTCAGACATAGTGAGGTCTGTTGGAAGTAAGAAAATGGGTTTATATATCTGAGGAATGACCAGAGTAGGACAAAGGACTTTTGTCTGCTGGAGCTAGGTGTGAATGTTTCAACTGACCACCTTGATTAGCATTTAATGGCTTGGAAGTGCCTGGGGGAATCTTTTGTTGAGAGGTGATTTGATGTGCCTGATTGTTTACTCTCTGTTGTTTTGCTGTTGTAATTTTTGAGTTTTTTTAATACTGGTAGCCAGATTTTGTTCATTTTCATGGTTTCTTCCTTTCTGTTGAAATTGTCCACACGCTTGTGGATTTCAATGGCTTCTCTGTGTAGTCTGACATGGTGGTTGTTCGAGTGGTCCAGCATTTCTGTGTTCTCAAATAATATGTTGTGTCCAGGTTGGTTCATCAGGTGCTCTGCTATGGCTGACTTCTCTGGTTGAAGTAGTCTGCAGTGCCTTGGTGGTCCCTATGTAGACTTGTCCACAGTTGCGTGGAATACGGTAGACTCCTGCAGAAGCGAGAGGATCCCTCTTGTTCTTTGCTAAACGCAGCATTTGTTGGATTTTCTTGGTGGGTCTGTAGGTGGTTTGTATGTTGTGTTTCCTCATCAGCTTCCCTATGCGGTCAGTGGTTCCCTTGATGTATGGCAAAAACACTTTTCCTCTGGGTGGATCTTCATCTTTACTCTCGTGGCTTGTTCTTGGTCTTGCAGCTCTTCTGATGTCTGAGGTGGAGTATCCATTGGCCTGGAGAGCCCAGTTGAGGTGGTTCAGTTCTTCTTGGAGGAGGTGGGGTTCGCAGATTCTTTTTGCACGGTCTGCCAAGGCTTTAATGGTGCTTCTTTTTTGACTTGGGTGATGGTTGGAGTTTTTATGCAGGCGAAACGTCAGGAGAAAGTGCCTCTAGACCATGGCCATGTAGCCCGAAAAAACCTACAACAACCCGAAGGAGCTAATTTAACAACTCAACCCAATTGGGAAAGAGTTGAGGAGAGGGTCCTAGCTGTTTGCTGCAAACTACTGGTTTTGTCTCCCCATCCAAAATGGCAACTAGCACCCAGGTGTCCTTGTTCCCAATGCCCTTCCTAGCCCTTCTTGCGTTTCCAATTGCCTCTGTGACTCCGCATGCCCCACACCAGTTGGAGATGGGAATCAGGCCTCCCATCTCAAGCTAGTTATCATTGCAGAGAGCAGGGGAATAAAAGTTTAGGAATTCTGGATCCCAAAAATACAACCCATTTGGTGGGAGGGTACGCTGCCTCCCATGCATTTGGCTAAATACATATATATATATTTATTTTATTTATATATAATGTATATATATAGAAATTTAAAATACTTTATCTTTAAAAAATAATGTTTTCTTCTTTTTAAAAAAATGTAAATCTAAGGCTCTCTTTTCCCCCTGTCCCTCCCACCCCCCCTATGGCCTTTGAAGCTCCCACCTTCCGCTCAGAGATCGAAGCGGTTGGCTATATCTCTCCTGCTCAGCCAGGGTTAATTCTGGGCCCAGAGAGGTAAAGGTGGGAAGTGGATAAAGAACCAATAATACCGTTTCCCAACACATAGGGAGCACCGCCCCCCAACTTAGCTCGTGGCAGGCGACGCGCATCCCCCTCCCACCCCAACCGAAACCCAGGGGTCGAGTGGCACAGAGAAATGATGCCTCTTGTTAGGGTACAGTGAGCAGATGTTGGTCACATGACGCTTTCCAAGATGACAACTTTGGCGCTCCCATCTGAGACCGGAGTCAACGTGGTCAGGACACCAATATCGGATTCGGGCACCTTGTATTCCAAATGGTGCAACCCCCAGATGGGTTGGGTGAGGTGGTGCCAGCGCTGTAGGGGAGAGAGAGGGAGAGTTGTTTTTACAAATGCCAACCTACATCAACTTAATGTGTGTGTAATACCTTTTCTGTGTTCTCTGTGTTCATTACTCATTCTCCCTCCCACAAACTAGGCCCAAGAAGCACTGAGGCACACATGTTGTCTACATGACACTTTTATATATCTTTCCCCATTCAACTCTTCCCACTCAATTGCATAACCATGCCTCTCCATCAATCTAATGTGCATAAAGGTAAAAGTAAAGGTGTCTCCTGAAATGAAGTCCAGTCGTGTCCGACTCTGGGGGTGGTGCTCATCTCTATTTCTAGAGCACCACCCCCAGGGAAGTCTGACTTGGCCACGGTAGTCCACGCTCTGGTTACATCCCGTTTAGACTACTGCAACGCTCTCTATGTGGGGTTGCCTTTGAAGACGGCTCAGAAGCTTCAACTAGTCCAACGCTCGGCAGCCATGATTCTAACAGGAGCGGAGCGCAGGGAGCATACAACCCCCCTGCTGTGCCAACTCCACTGGCTACCGATTTGCTACCGGGCTCAATTCAAAATGCTGGCGTTGGCCTTTAAAGCCCTGAACGGTTCCGGCCCAAGCTACCTATCCGACCGCATCTCTGCCTATGAACCCACCAGGACTTTGAGATCTTCCGGGGAGGCCCTGCTCTCGATCCCGCCTGACTCACAGGCATGGCTAGCGGGGACGAGAGATAGGGCCTTCTCGGGGGTGGCCCTGTGGCTGTGGAACGCCCTTCCCACGGACATTAGACTAGCTCCATCATTAATGGTATTCCTCAAAAAAGTGAAAACCTGGTTGTTTGAGCAGGCGTTCAAATAGTTAGTGCAATGAATGTAATGAACATAGGAATGGAACAATGGATGACGGATCTGGATCATGTTTTTAGTGATGAGACGCTAGCGAATGGCTATTGGTGTTAATTGTATATTGTTGTTAATTGAATACTTTTCTATAATATGTTATGATGTTAACTGTTTTTTATACTGTGTTATGGTAGCATGGAATTTCTGCTGTTCTTGTTGTGAACCACTGTGAGTCACCTAAGAGCTGAGAACAGCGGTATACAAATAAAGTAAGTAAATAAATAAATATTTCTAAGCTATTGACAATGCTTTTAACAAGGAGACTCTAAATGATATATATTTTTTTAATTGATACAAGAAGGACTGCCTGAACATCAAGCAAAAAGTGGGCGCTAGAAACAATATCATACAAAAGCTGACTGGCACAACCTGGGGATCACAACCAGACACAGTGAAGACATCTGCCCTTGCGCTGTGCTACTCTGCTGCTGAGTATGCATGCCCAGTGTGGCACACATCTCACCATGCTAAAACAGTGGATGTGGCTCTTAATGAGACATGCCGCATTATCACGGGGTGTCTGCACCCTACACCATTGGAGAAATTACACTGCTTAGCCTGTATCGCACCACCTGACATCCGCCGGGAAGTAGCAGCCAATAGTGAAAGGACCAAGGCAGTGACATCTCCAGCTCATCCCTTGTTTGGGTATCAGCCAGCACGTCAACGACTTAAATCAAGAAATAGTTTTCTAAGATCTACAGAGACACTCGCTGGAACACCTCAGCAAGCAAGAGTCCAAAAGTGGCAGGCTCAAACCCAGAACCTCCAATGGCTGATACCAAATGAGAGACTCCCCCCTGGGCACACAGAAGACTGGGCGACTTGGAAGGCGCTGAACAGACTGTGCTCTGGCACTACGAGATGCAGAGCCAACCTTAAGAAATGGGGCTACAAAGTGGAATCCACGACATGCGAGTGCGGAGAAGAACAAACTACAGACCACCTGCTGCAATGCAACCTGAGCCCTGCCACATGCACAATGGAGGACCTTCTTGCGGCAACACCAGAGGCACTCCAAGTGGCCAGATACTGGTCAAAGGACATTTAATCAACTACCAAGCTTGCAAATTCTGTGTTTGTCTGTCTGTTTGTTTTTGTTAAAAATGTAATACAAATGTCTGGTTGCTGATGACATGATAAATAAATAATTGATATTGAGTGTTTTAATTGGTTTTATATTTAAGCTATTTCATTTAATCGTATTTTATGTTTTTGTTGCTGACTGTAAACCGCCCTGAGAACCAGGCTGAGAGGGGCGGTATATAAATATAGTAAGTAAATAAATAAATAAATAAGCAAGCCAAAGAGCCAGCATTGTGAGTAGACGCCTCCTAGATCATGTGGATAGCATGACTAAATGAAGCGCCATTACTTTTCCGCAGACCTATTGATCTACTCACAAATTGCTTGTTTTTGAGCAGAAGCTGGGCCTAACAGCAGGAGCTCACCCCACTTCCTGGATTCAAACCACCAACTTTTCGGTCAGCAAGTTCAGCAGTTCAGCAGTTTAACCCACTGTGCTACCAGGGGATCTTTCTAATGTGCATACTTTTTAAAAAAGTTAGAAGAAATCCTGTGACATATACATAGGTGGACCAATACCCAGAGAAGACTCATTTCAATATATGTAAATCAGAGCTCTTCTAGAGCATTTTTTTAAAAAAGTTATAACCATGTTATAAGTTAGATGCAGCCTGAATTTTTTTTAAAAAAATATTATTTCTTTTCTTGAATTTTTCTGCCAAGGTTGGTTTAATATGTAATTTGTTTAGCTGCAGTCTTAATCTATGTTTAACAGGGACATAGAGGGCAAGTAATAGGATGCTCCCCAGTTTTAGATTCCCCGTAAATTTACATTAAAAAAACCCATTCATGTTGCATTTCAAGGATTACAGAAGCATTTAAAAGCATGCCCCGAAGGTACTAACTAGATCCTGTCTGATCTTGGAAGCCAAACAGGGCCAGTCCTGATTAGTCGTTGGTTGAGAAACAGCCAAGAAAAACCCGGTGCCGCAGGCAATATTACACAGGAAGCAACTGACAAAAAACCTCTGAGTATTCCTTGCTTAACTATTCCAGCCCAGTTTACTTACCCGAATATATATCCTCCTATGAAGCATCTAAGAGTTTAAGATTGTCTGGGGAGGCCCTGCTCTCGATCCCGCCTGCCTCGCAAGTGCGATTGGCAGAGATGAAGGACAGGACCTTTTCCGTGGTGGCCCCCTGGTACTCCCTCCCCAGGGATATTAGATCGGCCCCCTCCCTCCTGACTTTCTGAAAAATAGTAAAGACCGGGGTTGTTGTAGGTTTTTTCAGGCTATATGGCCATGGTCGAGAGGCATTTTTTCCTGACGTTTTGCCTGCATCTATGGCAAGCATCCTCAGAGGTAGTGAGGTCTGTTGGAACTAGGAAAAAGGGTTTATATATCTGTGGAATGACCAGGGTGAGACAAAGGACTCTTGTCTGCTGGAGCTAGGTGTGAATGTTTCAATTGACCACCTTGATTAGTGTATAATGGCCTGACATTGCCTAGAGCATACTTTTGTTGAGAGGTGATTAGATGTGCCTGGTTGTTTCCTCTCTGTTGTTGTGCTGTTGTAATTTTAGAGTTTTTTAATACTGGTAGCCAGATTTTGTTCATTTTCATGGTTTCCTCCTTTCTGTTGAAATTGTCTATATGCTTGTGTATTTCAATGGCTTCTCTGTATACTCAAAGAGAACACAGAAATGCTGGACCACTCTCACAACCACCATGTCAGACTATACAGAGAAGCCATTGAAATACATTGAAGTCCTTTGTCTCATCCTGGTCATTCCACAGATATTTTTTCTAGACCCAACAGACCTCACTACCTCTGAGGATGCTTGCCATAGATGCAGGCGAAACGTCAGGAGAGAATGCCTCTAGACCATGGCCATATAGCCCGAAAAACCTACAACAACCCAGTGATTCCGGCCATGAAAGCCTTCTATTATGAATGATGAACATGGAATGGCCAGATGATGTTACTGGATAACATTTTTAACAGGATGACACCGATGATTATATGCTTTAGTGGTTTTTATATATGTTTTATATTGTAATGTTGATTTTTTAATGGCACTTCTATGAATACCTGGCATTGAATTGTGCCAATCTGTAACCCACCTTGATTCACCGTATGGCTGAGAAAGGCGGGCTATAAATATTGTAAATAAATAAATAAATAAGAAAACCCTGTGAAATTCATGGGGTTGCCATAAATAGATAGGTGATCTGAAGGCATGGATACACACACTCAGATCTCATCCAGACAGACCCAAAATGCTGGACCTGTCTCGGAACAAAATGAATTAATTTGGAACAAACTAAGGGATTTTAATCAGGATGGCATGTAGCCACCCTGCTTGGGAAAGTCCGGGATTTTGTTCGAGTGTGGGGACTGAAACCCGCACTAAAGTAGGTTATTTAAACCCACTTTGGTGCAAATTTTAGTTCTGTGTGGAAGCGCCCTCAGTCTTACTATTAGCAAAATGGCCATGAATGATTGTCTTCCTTTTCGAATACGAAACAATGCCGAGCACGTTGAGAGAAATCTGACTTAGAATCATAGAATCAAAGAGTTGGAAGAGACCTCATGGGCCATCCAGTCCAACCTCCTGCCAAGACGCAGGAATATTGCATTCAAATCACCCCTGACAGATGGCCATCCAGCCTCTGTTTAAAAGCTTCCAAAGAAGGAGCCTCCACCACACTCCAGGGCAGAGAGTTTCACTGCTGAACGGCTCTCACAGTCAGGAAGTTCTTCCTCGTGTTCAGATGGAATCTCCTCTCTTGTAGTTTGAAGCAATTGTTCCGTGTCCTAGTCTCCAGGGAAGCAGAAAACAAGCTTGCTCCCTCCTCCCTGTGGCTTCATCTCACATATTTATACATGGCTATCATATCTCCTCTCAGCCTTCTCTTCTTCAGGCTAAACATGCCCAGCTCCTTAAGCTGCTCCTCATAGGGCTTGTTCTCCAGACCCTTGATCATTTTAGTCACCCTCCTCTGGACACATTCCAGCTTGACAGAATCAGACCAGCCCATGCATAACCAATGCATGCTCAGGTTTCAGTTCTTGAAAAGTTACTTGGCTAGTACTAGCTGAGGGATTTGGGGAACTGCAATCCAAAAAAAACCCCAACACTTCTAAGCTGTAGCCAACATTGCCAAGAAAAACCTTAGTGGATGAGGAGAGACACTCTTCCTTTACAAATTAATGATGTTATCGGCAAGGACAAGCTGTCATTCCTGCCCTATGGCATGGGTTCTCAAACTCTAAAATGATCATGGGTCTGGAGAACAAACCCAATGAGGAGTGGCTTAAAGAGCTGGGCATGTTTAGCCTGAAGAAGAGAAGGCTGAGAGGAGACATGATAGCCAAGTATAAATATGTGAGAGGAAGCCATAGGGAGGAGGGAGCCTGTTTTCTGCTGCCCTGGAGACTAGGACATGGAACAATGGCTTCAAACTACAAGAAAGGAGATTCCATCTGAACATTAGGAAGAACTTCCTGACTGTGAGAGCTGTTCAGCAGTGGAACTCTCTGCCCCGGAGTGTGCTAGAAGCTCTTTCTTTGGAAGCTTTTAAACAGAGGCTGGACGGCCATCTGTCAGGGGTGCTTTGAATGCAATATTCCTGCTTCTTGGCAGGGGGTTGGACTGGATGGCCCATGAGGTCTCTTCCAACTCTAGGATTCTATGATTCCTCCCATCCTGATGTTTGGGATTTCAGATCCCAGAATTCCTAACAACTGACTATTTTTAGAATGTCCGTGGATTGAAGTCTAATACTCCAGAGGACTATAGCTTGAAAACTATTACTGTATAATACAAACACATGCTATGCACCTGTACTCGCCCAACCCAGCCCATCCCAGCCTAGCCCAGTCATTGCTCAATGGTGGCAGTTGACTGATCTCACTGAATCTTCTCATCAGAATACCATGTATGTGACTTCAGCATGGATTCCCATGTCTGATTTATGGATGATAGCTAGACTACTGTAGATGCTAAACTTTGTTTAAGGTAAAGGTAAAGGTTTTCCCCTGACATTAAGTCCAGTCGTTTCCGACTCTGGGGTGTGGTTCTCATTTCCATTTCTAAGCCGAAGAGCCGGCACTGTCCGTAGACACCTCCAAGGTCATGTGGCCAGCATGACTGCATGGAGCGCAGCTACCTTCCCGCCAGAGCGGTACCTATTGATCTACTCACATTTGCATGTTTTCATACTGCTAGGTTGGCAGAAGCTGGGGCTGACAGCGGAACCTTGCGCCGCTCCCCGGATTCGAGCCTGCAACCTTTCGGTCAACAAGTTTAGCAGCTCAGTGCGCCACCGAAGTTTACTTTTGTATTATTCTATACATTATATCGCAAGTTATCTTACACATGCACCCAGACACACACTTGTTAGACTTGGATGTCCTGAATCCCCATCTTTTTTTTTAGTTTGTGCAATTTAGAAACCTGTCTTACCTCTGCCAGCGTTCCCTTGGCACGGATGAGTTTGTAGAGGGCGGTAAGAGGGACACATAGCATGGAGGATAGTGCAAAGCCCCAGCCGATGGCTTCTCCCCACCAGGGGTAGGTATAACTGTTGTTGTAGATCAATGGCTTGTAGTAGGCAACATTGAAAAAAAAGATGCCCTGGGAATAGATGATGGATAAGTGAAAAATCTCTCCAACACTCTTGTTCCTACCTTCCAACCCAATAACAGTCACATTTCCTGTGTTCAAATGCATTTCTGTGTAATATCTATATACAAGATTACACTTTGGATTGGGGTGAGAATGGCTGTCTTTTGCTACCCCTCTCTAATCTATATAAATAAAAATGTAATGTTTGTTTTTGGGATTAACAGAACTCAAAAATCACTGTGAGAGCCATTCAGCAGTGGAACTCTCTGCCCTGGAGTGTGGTGGAGGCTCCTTCTTTGGAAGCTTTTAAACAGAGGCTGGATGGCCATCTGTCAGGGGTGCTTTGAATGCAATATTCCTGCTTCTTGGCAGAGGGTTGGACTGAATGGCCTATGAGGTCTCTTCCAACTCTATGATTCTTACATGGCAGAAGAGGGGTGGTCTCAGCTGCCAAATCTACATGCATGCATTAAAGGGATGAAATTCAAAAGAGGGAGATGTCTTATATCGAGCCACAAAAGGTTCACCTGTTGCATTAAAGCACTAGTGAATTTAATAATAATAATAATAATAATAATAATAATAATAATAATAATAATAACAACCAAAGTATGGATTGTCGATATTACAATCCCAGGGGACAACAGGATTGATGAGAAACAACTGGAAAAGCTGACATGATATGAGGATTTAAAGATCGAATGCAAAGACTCTGGCACAAGCCAGTAAAGGTGGTCCCAGTGATCATCGCACATTGATTGGAGTGCCTAAAGACCTTGGCCTGCACTTAAACACAATCGGCGCTGACAAAATTACCTTCTGCCAGGTGCAGAAGGCCACCTTACTGGGATCTGCACGCATTATTCGCCGATACATCACACAGTCTTAGAAACTTGGGAAATGTCCGACGTGTGATCCAATACAATAGCCAGCAGAGTGATCTTGTCTGCTGTGGACTCATCTTGTTGTATTTCAAATAATAACAAAGGCCACCTTAGTTGGATCTACGTGCATCATTCGAAAATACATCATATAGTCCTAGATGCTTAGGGAGTGTTCGACTTGGGATTTTTTGATACGAAATCGAGCATATATATCTTGTTTGCTGTGACATACTGTGTTTTTGTGTCAGTAAAATAATAATAATAATAATAATAATAATAATAATAATAATAATGCAGGATTGCAGAGAAACAACAGGAAAAACTGACACGATATGATGATTTAAAGATCGAAGTGCAAGGACTCTGGCGCAAGCCAGTAAACGTGGTCCCAGCGGGGATTGGCACACTGGATGCAATGCCTAAAGACCTTGGCCTGCACTTAAACACAATCGGCGCTGACAAAATTACCTTCTGCCAGGTGCAGAAGGCCACCTTACTGGGATCTGCACACATTAGTCGCTGATACATCACACAGTTCTAGAAACTTGGGAAATGTCCGATGTGTGATCCAATACAACAGCCAGCAGAATGATCTTGTCTGCTGTGGACTCATCTTGTTGTGTTTCAAATAATAACAAAGGCCACCTTAGTTGGATCTATGCGCATAATTTGAAAATACATCATATAGTCCTAGATGCATAGGGAGTGTTCGACTTGCAATTTTTTGACATGAAATCAAGCATATATTTTGCTGTGACATACTGTGTTTTTGTGTCATAATAATAATAATAATAATAATAATAATAATAATAATCTGGCGCAAGCCAGTAAACATGGTCCCAGCGGTGATTGGCACACTGGGTGCAGTGCCTACAGACCTTGGCCTGCACTTAAATACAATCGGCGCTGACAAAATTACCATCTGCCAGCTGCAGAAGGCCACCTTACTGGGATCTGCACACATTATTCGCCGATACATCACACAGTCCTAGACACTTAGGAAGTGTCCGACGTGTGATCCAATGCAACAGCCAGAAGAGTGTCTGATGTGGACTCATATTGTTGTGTTTCTAATAATAATAATAATAATAATAATAATAATAATTTAGCATTTTCTTTTAAGAAGCTCTTTGTGCTGGCCTTGCTTTTGAGTCTTTATGAGCTAGACGCAAGGTGCAGGTCCAACAAGTGAGGTGATTTTCTGCTTCGAAGGTTTTGCTAAAGTGTTCTTGCCAGAGGAAAGCAACTTGTGAGTTTAGATAATGAAAAGCTTTTGTGTGGACAGACTAGAAGTCAGTCTCCGCCTCCCTCTGCATTGCAGTTCTCTCTCTCTCTGAAATCAATCTCTCCTCCGGAGCATTCTTACCAGGCAGACGAGAGGGGTCAGGAACATCCAGCACCACTTCATCCATGAGGAGGGCCGGTAGCCAATCATGCAGGCGATGTCATCCATGAAACGGTCGGCACCTAGACCAACATGGGAGGGAGGTTCAGCCATAAAGAATAAGACAAGAGCCTTCCCATATGAGAATCGGAGTGAGTGCTTTGGGGAGACAAGGCTTGCAAAGTCAAAACACCCAAAGACTTTGGATTAGCAGCAACCATGAACTCATCTTCCACCTTCCTTGGGCTCCCCTGTTCCCTCTGAGGTTGGCTGCAGTCCTCACAGTAGTGAGTGTGGTAGTGAAGGAAATGGGATATAAAGTGTTGCCAACTATCTAGTTGCAATGCAAAGATGGCTCCACAATCTTCTTCAAGGCAAACCTAGCAGGCTACGATCCCCTTCAACGCTTTACTCACTGCATTGCTACGATGTCATTCTGGGTGATGTTCCAATGGCATTAGCAGCTCATGGAAGGACACGATGTTGCTTACGTCCTGTTTTGGCCTTTAAGCTATCCTACTGTACTGCTGCTTGTGAAAGGTGATACTGGATGCCTTCTTATGTCAGTGTATAGGAAATTTATTTATTATTTATTTATTTACTACATTTTTATACCGCCCTTCTCAGCCCTCAAGCAACTCAGGGCTGTTTACAGAGGCAACAATTCAATGCCCAAGAACACCATAAGACATTTATTTACTTATTTATTTACTATATTTGTATACCGCTTTTCTCAGCCCTCGGGGTTTTTTTTTTTGTCATGTCAGGAGCGAATTGAGAAGCTGCAAGTCGCTTCTGGTGTGAGAGAATTGGCCATCTGCAAGGACGTTGCCCAGGTGACGCCCGGATGATTTGATGTTTTTATCATCCTTGTGGGAGGCTTCTCTCATGTCCCCGCATGAGGAGCTGGAGCTGATAGAGGGAGCTCCTTCGCCTCTCCCCGGATTCGAACCTGCGACCCGTCGGTCTTCAGTCTTTCCGGCACAGGGGTTTAACCCACTGCGCCACCGGGGGCCCTCGGGTGACTTAAAGCGGTTAACAATAGAAATATTCAATGCTCAGAACAACATAAAACAGTTAAAAACAATTAAAACAATAGCATATTAAACAATCAATTATACATCAATAAACATCTCGTTAGCATCTCATAATTAGAATCAGGATCCAGTTTCATTATCCAATTGTTCCATATTCCTATAGTCATTTAAAAACATTACTATATAATATAAAACGATCACAAGAGCAATAAAAACATATCATTTGCGTCTCCTAATTAAAAACCGCCACCAGCCCAATTTGGAATTACATTTATGAAATCGCCAGTGGTGCAATGCGTTAAAGCCTTGTGCTGGCAGACCTGCTGACTGGCAGGTCAGCGGTTCAAATCCAGGGAGAGCGGGTTGAGTTCCCTCTGTCGGCTCCAGCTCCCCATGCAGGGACATGAGAGAAGCCTCCCACAAGGATGGTAAAAAAAATCAAACATCTGGGCGTCCCCTGGGCAATGTCATTACAGACAGCCAATTCTCTCACACCAGAAGCGACTTGCAGTTTCATGAAAAAAAAAGTCTCAACCGCATATCTAGCATGTCTAGCATATCTAATGGAACAATGGACGACGAACCTGGATCATGCTTTTAGTGATGAGATGCTTGGGAATGGTTACTATAGTAATTATGTATTAATTGTGTATTAGATTAGGTTATTAACTGTTTTATATTGATGTTGAATTTTGCTGTGTTTGTGCCTTGTGAACCGCTGTGAGTCGCCTTCGGGCTGAAAACAGCGGTATAGAAGTAAAGTAAAGTAAAGTAAATAAATAAATAATCGATTTGCCCCAAAGAAATTGGAAATTATTGTTTCCATTTGATGTTTGATGTTTTGTCTTATATCTGTTATAACAGGCTGTGCTTTTTATTTAATTTTAATTTGTTATGTTATAATTATATGTTAGGGAGTATAAATTTTGTTAGTATGGATGTATTGTTGTATTTGGGCATTGAATGTTTGCCTTTTATGTTTGGAATCTGCTTGAGTCCCTTTGGGGAGGTAGAGTGGAATATAAATAAAGTTTCATTATGACAAGAGGATTGGATTTGTGATCTCGTGAAACTATTGTTGAAGGCTTTCGTGGCCAGAATCACTGGGTTGTTGTACATGTTTCAGGCTGTATGGCCATGTTCTAGAACAGTGGTTCTCAACCTTTCTAATGCTGCGACCCCTTAATACAGTTCCTCATGTTGTGGTGACCCCCAACCATTATATTATTTTCATTGCTACTTCACAACTGACTGTAATTTTGCTCCTGTTATGAATCATCTTCACAACTACAATTTTGCTACTGTTATTAATCATAATATAAATATCTGATATGCATGATGTATTTTCATTCACTGGACCAAATTTGGCACAAATACCTGATATACCCCAATTTGAATACTGGTGGGGTTGGCAGGGAATTGATATTGTCATTTGGGAGTTGTCGTTGCTGGGATTTATAGTTTACCTACAATCAAAGAGCATTATGAACTCCTAGAATGGAATTGAACCAATCTTGCCATACACAACTCCTGTGACCAACAGAGAATACTGGAAGGGTTTGGTGGGCATTGACCTTGAGTTTTGGAGTTGTAGTTCACCTAGATCCAGAGAGCACTGTGGACTCAAACAATGATGGATCTGGACCAAACTTGCCATGAATACTCAACATGCCCAATGTTAATGAACACTGGTGGAGTTTGGGGAAAATAGACCTTGCATTTGAGAGTTTTAGTTGCTGGGATTTATAGTTCACCTACAAGAAAAGATCATTCTAATCCCTACCAATGATAGAACTGGGCCAAACTTCCCACATGGAACGCCTATGACCAACAGAAAATACATTTTTGGATGATCTTTGGTGACCCCTCTGAAACCCCCTGGTGACCCCCCCAGGGGTCCCGACCCCCAGGTTGAGAACCACTGTTCTAGAAGCAACTACAACTATGATTCTATAATCTCAGCTAAGATCTTTACAAAAGCCCGGCTTCTGAAAAGTGCTAGGATAGGTTTCTTAATAGAAATTAATCTGAATTTTTAGACTGTTATTGGGGAGTGAGCAGTGGATATGGTCCTGCTGGCCACTTGGACTTGAAAATTTATCCCTGGACTATTTGTTCCTACACGATGGTGTCTACCTTGTTTTCCCACAATGGCCAACCGAAATCTTTGGGAAATGCCACAGATAGGACACACTGGCTTCCTCTTGTTCATGCTCCCTGTGGCTGATACTCTTTCTGCAAGGCAAAAGTTTCTGCTTCCTATATGCAACCTGGTACTTCCTGTTATCATGGATTGCTTTCATTCTACCTAGTCGGACTATCTCCTCCTCTCCCAATTGTTGGAGATAAGTCAGGGGCAGTTCAAAGACAAATTTCTTCCTTGGCAGAAAGTGAAAACAGAGATGCCCTTGACTGAGGATGGCACAGAATAGAACATGCACCAAGCCCAAGCTTTGGTAATATTTACTACAAGTGCAATATCATACTCCCTGTTACCTCCAATGACATTAAGTTGGAATTGCTTCCAAACTCTTATCACTAACTGGTCAAGTTCAAATGAATTAGTTACTGCCCAGTGCCCTTTAAATGCCCCTTGCATATTCCATACTTCTTGCTGAGATGGCTGAATGGAAGCAAAGGGAAAAGCCGGCCTCCCCACTCTCTCCAGTAAATGTTTACCAAGCAGATTATAATCTACATTAGCAATTGTGCACTCAGAATCAGGAGGTGGTATTTCAATATGAGGCTTTGTAGAGGCAAGGTAATGTCAATTAATGTTCACCTCCACCTTGGAGTATGCAGTGGAGGAAAAATATGCCAGGCTTTTCTTACTTACTAGCCACTTTGAGTCACCGATAGGCTGAGAAAGGCGGTATACAAGTGTAGTAAATAAATAAATAAATAAATTTTGAATATAGAATATAGAATGTGGGTTGTTGTAGTTTTTTTTCGGGCTATATGGCCATGTTCTAGAGGCATTCTCTCCTGACATTTCACCTGCATCTATGCTTGCCATAGATGCAGGCGAAATGTCAGGAGAGAATGCCTCTAGAACATGGCCATATAGCCCGAAAAAAACTACAACAACCCAGTGATTCCAGCCATGAAAGCCTTCGACAATACATTGAATATAGAATGCTTTAATGCTGAACTATACAAGTAGCAATCACATACTACTCCAGACTGCAAGCGACCTTATATGTTTGTGTTGGAGGGAAGGGCATGCATGCAATGTGTCTCACGTTTTTCTCCCTTCATGTTCTTGAAGACTAAAAGCATTGTCCTGTATATATCGGTCTGAGAAGTGACTGTCATTCTAGTGCAGGGGTCCTCAAACTTTTTAAACAGAGGGCCAGGTTACAGTCCCTCAAACTGTTGGAGGGCCGGATTATAATTTGAAAAAAGCATGAATTCCTATGCACACTGCACATATCTTATTTGTAGTGCAAAAACACTTAAAAACAATAGGTAAAGGTAAAGGTTTTCCCCTGACATGAAGTGCAGTCATTTCCGACTCTGGGATGTGGTGCTCATCTCCATTTCTAAGCCGAAGAGCCAGCGTTGTCCATAGACACCTCCAAGGTCATGTGGATGGCATGACTGCATGGAGCGCTGTTACCTTCCTGCTGGAGCGGTACCTATTGATCTACTCACATTTGCAAGTTTTTGAACTGCTAGGTTGGCAGAACAATACAACAATTAAAATGAAGAACAAGTTTAACAAATATAAACTTATTAGTATTTCAATGGAAAATGTAGGCCTGCTTTTGGCTGATGAGATAGGATTGTTGTTGTGTGCTTTCAAGTTGGTTCAGACTTAGGTTAACCCTCAGCAAGGGCCAGGTAAATGACCGTGGAGGGCCGTATCTGGCCCTCGGGCTTTAGTTTGAGGACCCCTGTTCTAGTGGATCTCTGTGTAGCCCCTCAAGGCCCCTGTCAGTTCCCCAAAGGCCCCCAACCCCTGTCAAAGTTGGCACAATTTTCAGGTGTGCACCAAAAACCACTCAAAAAACCCCATCAGAATCAATATGGTCAATGCACATGGCTTATCCTCTTTGGGCTCCCACTCTTTGTTGCTACAATCATAGTGATGATGATGATGATGATGATGATGATGATGATGATGATGGTGATGCCATCAAAGCCAGAATTGAAAAGTCGACGACAGATCCCAAGTGTAGACTAGGAATGTCTTCTCTGTATAATCTTCCCTGGACAATGAGATCTTCTGGGGAATTTACTTGAATCAGCCAGAGGACCTTTTCATTAGTTGCCCCTAGACCGTGGAATGACCTTGTCCTCTTCACTTCACTATTATGGATGCCCTTCTAGGCTGACACGGTTCTTTCTTCCTCCTCACTCCTACCTAAGATGGCATATCCCTGTTTCCAACTGAAACTGTTACCAACTGAAACCGTTACCAACTGAAACTGATCCAGTGTAATTCCATTCACAGAGTTGCTGGACACCTCATTATTGAGTTCTGCTACAATGATGGGAACAAGAGAGAGGTGGATGTGGGCCCACTGGACCATTTAAGTTGGAGGTATGGAACTCACCCCCATTATGGTCCCTCAATTCAGAAGAAAAATGTGCCAACAGAATATATTCTGCCAATTGTGTCTGCAAACCAAACATGCCAGAATCGCATGACAAATGTTGAAGATGCTCTACGGCCTGCAGCATCCAATATTCAGCCAAGGTTTAATTCTTTATGTATTAAAAAATAAGCACATCCACTTCATTAGTATGTAAATTTGCTTTCATCTTTAATAAATAGTAAAATTATATGTATACCAAAAAAAAAAAAACCATCAGAATCCTACAACACCTCCAAAGATCCAAAGTCCTTCTCAAAATGATGATAGCAAGTGAGGGACAACACTTCTAGACACCATTTAAGGAAGGACTCAGAGGTATTATGGAGCATTGTTTGGGTGATGCATGCTCCACAGACAGGGGGCAGGTAAAAACCGACCCCTAGGCATATGTAGATGCCCACCCTTGTCGACAGTGCCAATATTTGAGGCCACATTCCTTGTCTTTTCAACCTATTTTGAAATATACAACTCCCACTTACCGTAAACCCAAGCGATCACCACACACTCCCAGAAGGCCTGCCACAGAAGTGTTGTGCCGCTTGCAGAATAGTAATCGAAGAGCTGGAAGACATACATGCCCCCCTGGGGAGAAGGGCCAAAGTGTGAGGCTGGCTTGGCATAACAACACTTTCAAAATCGATCCCTCTCAGTCCCTGCTATCTAGCACCCACTTCTTCCCTCCCTAACCCCAAATGCTTGAAACACATCAGTTGTTCAAAGCAGAGTGAGTCTTTTCACAGGGAGCTGCTAAGGGCAGCACATTTGCCCACAAAAGCCGGTGGGAGCAACATTCTTTTCTAAGGAATGCATGTGTGAACCCACTTCTTCCCCTCTCGGAAGAGCAAAGGGTGAAGGAAAGACAAGAGCAGGCCTCATGCAAAAGGGAACGTTGCTCAGTCAAAGCGGCACACACTCTCCCACATGTCTCAAGTATCAATAGAAGGACCCTTCCACACAGCCACATAACCCAGAATATCAAGGCAGAAAATCCCGCATAGATTATCTGAGTCCTCACTCAGATAATGTGGGGTTTTATGCCTTGATATTCTGGGATATAGGACTGTGTGGAAGGGCCCCCACAATATCTGCTTTGAACTGGGTTATCTGAATCCACGCTGCCATATATTCCAGTTCAAAGCAGAAAATGTGGGATTTTATTTAGCTGTGTGGAAGGGGCCAAAGAGGTAAAAAGAAAGTTTCTCAGGCTTTGACAGGCAGCTCATCACACTTTAATATTATCCAAAAGTTGCCGCCATAGAAGCTGGTTGGTAAAGAAGTTTAGAAGCTGCATGTATCTGTGGAATATAATTCCCAGCACTTGCCATGGCAATGCAAAACTGCACATAGCAGCAACCCTTACTGAATGAACCTCTCTGGTAGAGGCATAGCATAGAATAATATCAAAGGATCTAGAGCACTGGTTCTCTACCAGTGGGTCCCCAGATGTTTTGGCTTTCACCTAGAAATCCTAACAACTAGTAAACTGGCTGAGATTTCTATGAGTTGTAGGTCAAAACATCGGGAGACCCAGAGAATGCCAAGTGAGAACATCTCTGTAGCAACTCTACGGTCATCTTCCAGTGTAAGCAAAGCACAAAAAACATGGTGGAGGACCTAGAAAATGCCTAGAGGACATCTTTTTTTTGAAAATGAATAAATCAGTGTTTCTCAACCTTCCTAATGCTGCGACCCCTTAATACATTTCCTCATGTTGTGGTGACCCCCAACAATAATATTATTTTAATAACTGTAATTTTTCTACTGTTATGAATTGTGATGTAAATGTTTGATATGCAGGATATATTTTCATTCACTGGACCATATTTGGCACAAATTCCCGATACACCCGCATTTGAATACTGGTGGGTTTGGGGTGTGTGTGTGTGTGTGTGATTTGCATATTATTGGAGTTGATTTGGTCATTTGAGAGTTGTAGTTGCTTGGATTTCTAGTTTACCTACAATCAATGAGCATTCTGAACTCCACCAACAATAGAACTAAACCAAACTTGGCACACAGGACTCCCATGACCAACATGACATTGAGTTTTGGAGTTGCAGTTCACCTACATCCAGATACTGTGGACTCAAAACAATGATAGATGTGGATCAAATTTGGCACGAGCACCCTGAACTACACCAACGATAGAAATGGGCCAAATTTCCCACAAAGAACCCGCATAAAATGTAAAGGTTTTCCCCTGACATTAAGTCCAGTTGTACCCGACTCTGGGGTGTGCTGCTCCTCTCCATTTCCAAGCCGAAGAGCTGGCATTGTCCATAGACACCTCCAAGGTCATGTGGCCAGCATAACTGCATGGATTGTTGAGTTTAGCAGCTCAGCGGTTTAATCCACTGCACCACCGGGAGCTCCCAGAATCCCCATAACCAATAGAAAATACCGGTGGGATTTGGAATGAGCTGACAGTGATTTAGGGGGGATGTAGTTCACTTACATCTAGAGAGCACTGTGAACCAAAACGACTATGCCAAAGGGATTCTTAAGACCATCAGAAAGATGTGTTTTCTAATGGTCTTTGGTGACCCCTCTGAAACCCTCTCGTGCCCCCCCACCACCAGGGGTCCCGACCCCCAGGTTGAGAAACACTGGAATAAATGAAGCCTCGGGTAACAGCTTCGCTGATATAGAAACACATTATATTCTGCTATCAAGGGATGGTATCAACACTGGGGAAGTGAGTAACAGCAGCCATTTAGGACTGGGGATGGATACTAAGGGAAGTTTGTAAACTTTGTGTGCAGACATATATCAATGTTTCGCTACTGGGGCATAGGTTTTTTAAAAATGTTTTTACATGTTTCCTTCATTATAATTATCAGTATAACATGAAAAAAGAAGTATATCAGTTTTGTTGCATGATTAGTGACAAGACTCAAGAAAGGGTTGAATCAGCAGAATTAATAAGGAAGCTCAAACAGCTCAAATGTCTAAACCAAGGCAAATGTACTTTGTTCGTGGCAGCTATGTAGATGCTGGTACTATTACAGACAAGTGTTAGATGCCACTAACAGTGGCAGCCTTCCCAAAATCTGTATTGTGTTGATTGTGGCCCTCAAGCCAACCAAAACGACCTAAAATTGTGTGTAATCTTTTGCACTCCTTAAAGCTCATCATTGAGCAAAATGTGTCAAAAAAAATAGTCAAAAGCTTCTTGAAATCTATCAAACACAGGTTTGATCTATGGGCTGTAACACACTCAAGATTGTTTTAGAAAATAAGTAATATTACATAAGGAATACCATGTAGTTGAACAATGGCTTCAAACTACAAGAAAGAAGATTCCATCTGAACATTAGGAAGAACTTCCTCACCATGAGAGCTGTTCAGCAGTGGAACTCTCTGCCCCAGAGTGTGGTAGAGACTCCTTCTTTGGAAGCTTTTAAACAGAGGCTGGATGGCCATCTGTCGGGGGTGCTTTGAATGCAATTTTCCTGCTTCTTGGCAGGGAGTTGGACTGGATGACCCATGAGGTCTCTTCCAATTCTAGGATTCAATGATTCTATGATTCTATCTGCCAATCCCTTATAAATGTTTGTTGTGCTATTGTTCATGTTTATTGCTTATTTTTGTTTATGAGATTTATTTTAATTGTTTTGCATTGCTTGTTGTTATTGCTTTTGTTATTGATGTGTTGTGGGCTCGGCCTCATGTAAGCCATACCGAGTCCCTTGGGGAGATGGTAGCGGGGTATAAATAAATAATAATAATAATAATAATAATAATAATAATAATAATAATTATTATTATTATTATTATTAAGAGTATTCCTATTCTGGGGTGTTGTGTGGTTTCCTCAATGGTTGTGTTCTAGCAGTATTTCCTCCTCATGTTTCACCTGCATCTGTGGCTGAATATCACTATTCATTTCATTGATTCCTACATAGCCCAACGTCTGTATGTGAATTAGCATTTGTCTCTTGAAACCCCTTTCCCATTTACTAAATGCTTATTGTATTTCCACTTAGGGTTTCCACTTTAATTCCCCAAAATCAGCAGGTATACTCTCTTTGCCCATCTTAGATGCTCACCCACCCAACCAACATGCAGTGCCTTTGCAGGCCACCCTACCTCAGTCACCATCGACAACTCAATGAAGAAGCAGACGATGCAGGTGACAGCCACAGTGACCTCTCTCTGGAATCGGAAGGCGTAGGTGGCTGGGAAGAAATCCAGGATGCCGGTGATAAAGCCTTCGACACCCACAAACTGCCAGGTTGAAAAGGTTAAGCAAAAGGAGAAAGTAGGGAGAGAGAAAATGAGACACTGGGTGAGGGACCTGCTGCCCTTCTCTGCCTTACGAGAGCGACAAGCTTCATGGCTGCTCTCTATTTTAGCCTTCTTGTATCATCCCAACCAGCCACAAATCTCACCTGGCTATCTAAGCCCAAGAGCAACAACATGAAGAAGAAGAGGGCAGCCCAGAGTGGAGCAATTGGCATCAGAGTGACTGCTCGTGGGTATGCGATAAATGCCAGTCCGGGCCCTGTATAGAGAGGGAAAAAAAGAAAGAAAATTCTCAGGGTGCCCGGCTCCAAGAATTGGGGAGAGACAAAATTGCAAAATTATTGTCACACACACAAGCTGGTACCTAGCATAGAATTCATTAAACGCAATGAAGTTACCAATATATTGTCGAAGGCTTTCATGGCCGGAATCCTGGGTTGTTGTAGGTTTTTTAGGGCTATATGGCCATGGTCTAGAGGCATTTTCTCCTGACGTTTCGCCTGCATCTATGGCAAGCATCCTCAGAGGTAGAGTTACCAATAGTTTTTGTCCATATTGAGCAGTTACCTTAATTTGTTCACAGTTCCTCTTCATTTATTACCTCCTCAGTTTGTTCTGTAAATGCATGAAGGCAACATGGTGCAGTGGCCTAAATGTTGGACTATGACTCTGGAAAACAGGGTTTGAATCTCCACTCTGACATGAAAACCCATTGAAGTTGCTTCCAGACAGGCTAGAAATGCATGGCAAAGTGGGTTTTTAAAACCCGCTTTGGCATGCATTTATGTCCCTACAAGCCACCCAAAACCTAGACTTTCCTGGGCAGGGTGACTACATGCCATTCTGATAACAATTGGGATAGAATACGTCAGGCCCGTAGCCAGGATTTCGTTTCGAGGGGGGGGGGGCTGAGTCTGAGTGAAAGAGGGTCTACCCTAGCAAACCTTTTGTATCATTACCCCAAAACCCCCATGCATATGGGATATATTGAGCATGGTGATCAGATCATGATGTGAATAAACATAACAGTTTAAATAATGTACCAGTAAGGCCTTCTCGTGGACCACCATGAGAATTTGGGGGGAGGGGCTGAAGCCCCCCAAGACCCCCCCCCCCGGCTACATGCCTGGCATACGTCTACCCTGAAGCACCCCCCCCCCCACAAACTACCCTTACAAGTAAAAAAAACTTACCTGGCTACCATTAAGATCCTCCTGCCATCCTCCTGGCATGATGAAATGATGTACCAGGAGACGGGAGGATCGAGGAGGGAGGGCCGAGGAGGAAAATTACTCCCTGCCCCTGTCAGCCATTAAGGTTTTTCTTGAACCCCGAGGATTCAAGAAAAACGTTAATGGCTGCCAGGTATGTTTTGTGTACTTTTAAGCAGTGGTTCTCAACTTGTGGGTCCCCATGTGTTTTGGTCTACAACTCACAGAAATCCAAGCCAGCTTACCAGCTTTTAGGATTTCTGGGAGTGGAAGGCCAAAACATCTGGGGACTTGGAGGTTGAGAGCCATTGCTTTTAAGGGTTGTTTTGGGGCTGGGGGAAGGTTTTGGGTGCCATCCCAGACCTTTGGACTCCCAAAGCCCAAAATGTTTGAGATGGCAAATGGGGACTCGCCCCTGGAAAGTCCTAGAAGTGAGTCCCCAGAGGCCCAATACCCCATTAGACCAAGCCTTTCAGGAAGGCCTGAATCTAATGTGAGCAGAGCAGTACTCTTCACACATACTGGCTCGAGAGCAGTACATGTGAAAAAGATCTTGGCGTCCTCGTGGACAACAAGTTAAACATGAGCCAACAATGTGATGTGGCAGCTAAAAAAGCCAATGGGAATTTGGCCTGCATCAATAGGAGTATAGTGTCTAGATCTAAGGAATTCATGCTACCCCTCTATTCTGTTTTGGTTAGACCACACCTGGAATATTGTATCCAATTCTGGGTACCACAATTCAAGAGAGATATTGATAAGCTGGAATGTGTCCAGAGGAGGGCGACTAAAATGATCAAGGGTCTGGAGAACAAGCCCTCTGAGAAGCGGCTTAAGGAGCTGGGCATGTTTAGCCTGAAGATGAGAAGGCTGAGAGGAGACATGATAGCCTTGTATAAATATGTGAGAGGAAGTCACAGGGAGGAGGGAGCAAGCTTGTTTTCGGCTTCCCTGGAGACTAGGACGTGGAACAATGGCTTCAAACTACAAGAAAGGAGATTCCATCTGAACATGAGGAAGAATTTCCTGACTGTGAGAGTCGTTCAGCAGTGGAACTCTCTGCTCCAGACTGTGGTGGAGACTGCTTCTTTGGAAGCTTTTAAACCGAGGCTGGATGGCCATCTGTCAGGGGTGCTTTGAATGCAATATTCCTACTTCTTGGCAGGGGGTTGGACTGGATGGCCCATGAGGTCTCTTCCAACTCTATGATTCTATAATTTGGAATAATAGAGGTTATTCTGAATTAATTCGTTTTTACAGGAGGCATTGTTTGGATGCCCCTGGTAAAAACCCAGACAGATCCCATGATATGGGCCAGTCTGGATGGACCCTGAGTGACCTTGGGCAAGTCACACATTCTTTGCTTCAGGAAGCCCCATGAATAGTTTCATTTTAGGGAACCATAAGTTGGAAATGACTTCATGGCACCAACCATCTGCAAATGCTCAGCATTCATTTACAAACAGCAACAGTCTCTGTGACTGAAGAAATACGTTTGTAATTCCAGTTGCCAAGAGTTAAGGGTTCAGTACTGTTTGTAACCTTGTCTTAGATCAAGTGGAATAAGTGACTGGCTTGCAAAATTGGTGGAAGAAGTCAGGCTCAAATTGCTATTGGATGCTATTAGAGTAGATTTCACACTGTACTAGTTATTCTCAAAATTCCAGCTCTTAAACAGAACTGGTTTTAAAATGTGGAACCCACAGAATCTCAGCTTTTACTTTCCCCACTTCAAAATACTACTACTACTACTACTACTACTACTACTACTACTACTAATAATAATAATAATAATAATATTGTCGAAGGCTTTCATGGCTGGAATCACTGGGTTGTTGTAGGTTTTTTCGGGCTGTATGGCCATGGTCTAGAGGCATTCTAGACCATGGCCATACAGTCCGAAAAAACCTACAACAACCCAATAATAATAATAAAACTTTATTTATACCCCGCCACCACCTCCCCAAGGGACTCGGAGCGGCTTACATGAGGCCAAGCCCAAAACACATCCATAAAAACAAAAAAAGCAATAAACAAAAACAATAAATACAATACAATTAATATAAATCACATATAAACAATAGCTAATAAACAATAACACACAAGGATTTAAAAACCTATGGCCGGGCCAAATGTAATAATTTAAAATTTAAAAAAGAAAAAGGGTTTCAAAGGCCCCTTCTACACTGTCCTTATATCCCAGGATCTCATCCCATCTGCTTATCCCAGATTATATGACAGTGGAGACTCATATAATCCAATTCAAAGCAGATAACCAGGGATCAGATCCTGGGATCTAAGGACAGTGCAGAAGGGGCCTACATCTCATGGTTTTGACCAGTGTATGGGCAAAATATAGACAAGAGAAAAAACAAAAAGGAGTTAGTTCGATCACCTTGAAAGGATCTGAACTCTTCATAGAGTTCGTTGCCTTCCCTGTGGCCACTGACACATGAATTGCTTATGCAAATTACTCAAATATCTTCTGGACAATCTAGATTTCAAAAACCAGTTTTTCTTGGAACAGAAGAACAATTTATCCACGGTTTATTTGATAAAATCACTGCTAACAAGGGATGGATGCCATTTGATCACTAATGAAAAAAAGAGAAGGCTTTAGCAATGTTCTTAAATATCAAACAAAGCCGAGTATGCAGAATAACAGATACAAAGGTTCAGTTGTGTAAAAAAATCCTGACCCCTCCATCTCCTGTCCCAAACAAAACTAATAACACAAGTTTTGTTTTCTGTGTCAGGAGTGACTTGAGAAACTGCAAGTTGCTACTGGTGTGAAAGAATTGGCAAGGATGTTACTAAGGGGACACCTGGATGTTTGATGTTTTACTATCCCATGGGAGGCTTCTCTCATGTCCTTGTATGGAAAGCTAGAGCTGACGGAGATATCCGTAGGGATACCAAGGTGCTTGTCTATAAAGCTATTGTCCTCCCAACCCTGCTATATGTTTGCGAAATGTGGACTGTCTACAGACGTCACATGCAACTCCTGGAACGATTCCATCAGCGCTGCCTTCGAAAAATCCTGCAAATCTCTTGGGAAGACAGGCGGACAAACGTCAGTGTGCTGGAAGAAACAAAGACCACCAGCATCGAAGCAATGGTCCTCCGCCATCAACTCCACTGGACCGGCCACGTTGTCTGGATGCCCGACTGTTTCCCAAAGCAGTTGTTCTACTCCAAACTCAAGAATGGAAAACGTAATGTTGGAGCACAGGAAAAGAGATTTAAAGATGGGCTCAAAGCCAACCTTAAAAACTCTGGCATAGACACTGAGAAGTGAGAACTGTCAAGCCCAGGCCCTTGATCGCTCCAGCTGGAGGTCAGCTGTGACCAGCAGTGCTGCAAAATTTGAAGAGGCATGAATGAAGGGTGAAAGAGAGAAACGTGCCAAGAGGAAGGCGCATCAAGCCAACCCCGACCAAGACCTCTTCCCACCTGGAAACCAATGCCCTCACTGTGGGAGAAGTTGCAGGTCAAGACTAGGGCTCCACAGCCACCTACGAACCCACCCCCAGGACACCGATCCTCGGACTACGAGGGATCGCCTAAGTAAGTAAGTAAGTAACTACCCCACTTCTCAGATTCGAATCGCCAACCTGTTGGTCACCAGTCCTGCTGGCACAAGGGTTTAACCCATTGCGCCATCGGGGTCTCCAAGTTAAAAACTGATGTTATATAAATTCCACTCTTGTTATGAACCCTGTGGGGAATGTGTACACACTCTTGATACTGTTGGGTTGTCACTCCAATTCCCGCGCCCCCTGTTGCTGGCTATGTTGGCAAGGTCTAACCAGATCTGCACTCTAACATCTGTCCCTTGCACCCACCCCTCATTGTAAAATTAGGTAAAGGTAAAGGTTTTCCCCTGACATTAAGTCCAGCTGTGTCCGACTCTGGGGGTTGGTTCTCATCTCCATTTCTAAGCCAAAGAGCCGGCGTTGTCCATAGACACCTCCAAGGTCATGTGGCTGGCGTGACTGCAAGGAGCGCCGTTACCTTCCCGCAGGAGCGGTACCTATTCATCTACTCA